TACTATTATGACAGTAGGACACTGGAGGATGCATGGATGAAAATGAGGTATTTGCACTAAGCAAAAGAATTCTGACTTTATGCCCATAGGTCACTTGCAGTTTTGACTATTACTTCTAGTCCATAGCAACAAAGCCACTCTGTAGAGGTCCTTAAGATGTCTAAACACTTGGAGAGAGGGAATCTTTATCCTCATGTTCTGTTAATAGTCTTCCTGACTTGCTGAGGCAAGCCACTGTATATTTTGAAGGTCAGCTTAAAGACTGAAAACTAATTGTCCTGATTCTGTTTCTGTCAAAATTGACAGTGAATGCTGGCTGGGGAGGGGGGGAATTACTTCCAGCTTATAAAATTTGTTTCCCTTGTGTCTACCACAATGATAATACCCTGCAATTCAGAAGTTCATGTCAGTTTGGATTTTTAAGTTGTTTTGCATGAAGTCTGCAAGTGACTTAAATTTATTTCTTTCAGGCCGATACAAACAGGGAGCGCATTGAGCAAGCCAACGTCAGAGCCAAGAAACTAATTGACAATTAAAGCCTGCTGTCATTGTTCAATGACACAGTCTCTCCAGCTGCAAGCCACCATATTCATGGATCTGTGAAACTTCTCCTATTCTGAAATAAGAGGGTCTGGGAAAAATGAAGCATACCCTTTGATCCTTAATTAATCCTATAGGGATTAATTTTCTTTTTTTATTGCTTCATGTAAATGTGGCCTTGACTCCAAGAAAGCAGCCAACATAACTTCCTCCTACTCATCTGCCTTCACTTTCTTTAAGCTGCTCAGGGCTAAAACTGTTATGGCTTTGAGAATCTTGCATGTTTTATTCCCTCTCCCAGTCTCTTTTTCCTGCACCTTCAATACAGTCCTTTATTGAAGCTGAACAAGCCGGGTAACCTGAATTCAGTTGTGGAAAGTTGGAGAGGGCACTTTGCACTGTTTGAAATACCTCATAAGTTGAGTGTCTTCACTAAAATAGGGACTTGGTGAATATTGTCTGACTTGTACCTCTAGCAGGCTAACTATAGTTTTACAATCCAAACCACGTGATTGGTTTGGGGTTGGATTTGTGGATTACAGAATAGAAGAGGCCCACTACTTATTACTTGTGGGCTGAGGGCTTTAAAATACTGCCTAACCACATGAACTTTAATATAAAGGTAACTGGATGGGTATACAGGTTTCCATTTCTTTACTGTAAATTGACATTGGTTTGGAGGCCATAACTAGGAAATCACACTGCATTGTTCTGGTAATATTTGTTGTGTGTATATGTACCTGATCTAAACTTCACACACATGTGAGTAGAAGAAAATAAAACTATCACTTAAGTATTTATTTGATGGAAAGTGTTATGCCCCTCATCTAAAAGTTAACTTTTAAGTGTTGGAATGATGCATCTTAACTGGAAGAAACTGAGTAGAAAAGCATGCAGCTTTCTTGCATCCCATATCAGATTCTATTTTGGCCAGTTTTCACTGGAGATCAGTTTATGCCTTTCTCTAGTGCAAAATAACTGACATCTGGTGCAGAGTTTGTTCTCAGCAGTGACTTTGAGGGAGCTTCTTAAAGCTGCTGAAAACAGAGAAGCTTATTAGGAAACTTCTATGTCACAAGTCTGGAGGAAGCAGTACCTATTTAAGAACTGTATGCTAGTTCTAAATAAACTAGATCTAAACTAGTCTAGTTCCTGACTGGTTTATTATGGCAGACTTTGGGACTGGCAATTGGAAATAGTACATGTCCAAGTTACTTGCAATTAAAATGTGCCTGTTCTGTTGCAGGATAGGATCATGGAATGGCTTGGGTTGGAAGGGACCTTAAAGACCATCTGGTTCCAACCCGCCTGCCATGGGCAGGGACACCCCACTAGACCAGGTTGCCCAAAGCCCCATCCAACCTGGCCTTAAATGCTTCCAGGGAGGGGACACCCACAGCTTCTCTGGGTAACCTGTTCTCACCACCCTCATGCTAAAGAATTTTTCCTAATATATAATCTAAATCTGCCCTTCTTCAGATTAAGGAGTTTCTGACCAGATGAGGTAAAACTCTTCCTATGAGGAAGAAGAACATTTGGGGTTTACTGTAATGTAATGAGACTTATTTGTAGGTTTTTCTTGAATAATTTTGGCAAGTAAATGGCAAGTGACCTGTATAATTTTAATTCTACCCAGCAATATATTATGCCTGTTTTTAAAGGTGAAAATGATGCTTTGGACTAACCTGTGATAATCAATCTTGGATGGCAAAAATCTTCAAATTGTTTGGAGGAATAATTAAAACTGATAGCATTATGGGGTGGTTTTTTTTGGAAGGACAGTCTACAACTATCCTGTAGCCATTAATAATCCCAGGGCTAGAGAGATGACACTAATCTGCTGAAATGTAAGATGGTCTTAAGTGTTTTGGGTTTTTTAGTAGAAATACAATCAGTATTACTGGTATATTCTCAGTTCACTCCCAGGACAACTTGATATTTAAAGAAAAAACAAAAAAAAACCCTGACCAAAGGATGGAACTGCTGCATGTAATAAATAGGCCAGTGGTAGGCTGTCTCATGTGAACAAGGTAAAGTCACTTTTAGGGGACTGGATACTTCAGTAGTGTGTTGGCTTCTGTCTGGCTTCCAGTAATTGTTGGAAAGCTAATGAATTTTAGAAGCTTATTACCTCACTGCATTAGTAATGAAGATCATGTGCTTAAAAACATGAGCAGCAAAGAGTACTCTTAAGAACATTACACAGATTTCTAACAACCGCTTGCATGGGAAAGCATGGGGGTTTTGTATGCTTTTTTCCTTCTTACAAACTTTAGGTTAACTGAAGGAATGTTTGTTGCTGGTTATGAAAGCAAAGCATACATTATTTGTAATTGTCTTCTGGAACAGAAAACTAAAGTGATTACCTTATTCTGCTTACAACAGTGCAAAACTGCCCTGTAGCATCTGGATGTTCCAAACATTACAATGTTTTTCTCCCTTGCCATTACAAGTTCATGTGCTTGACTTCCCTGAGCTCTAACAACAAATTAGCATGTTGGCTGAGAGTAATGCTGTGACTGGGATATCAGAATTGTAATATTGCAATGAATACTACACAATGAAATAATTTCTGAGACCCTAAGCTTGATTATTAGCAGAACATCAGTACCACTTTCTGATGCAGCAAGAGCCAAATCTGTGAGGGAGTTGGTGCCTTTATGTTAGTGAACAACATGGTCTGCTTCTTGGATTGTCTTACTGTTGTCTATAGAATAGATGCTTCATTTCCATATCTATGGGATGGAATCAGCACTTGCACATCTTTATATTTCTGAATGCTATTAAGAATGAAAGTTTACAGTTTCTGCTTTTGATTGTTAAACGATATATTGTGCACAAAAATACATACTTTTATAATTGAATGTGTTTTAAAAGTATTTTCTCTTAGAAATGTCTTTTAGTTTCCTGTCCTTGAAAAACTTGGCAGAACTAGTTGCTGCTATGCAACTAGGAAGTTTCCCTTCTATTTTTATTTCACAGAAGTCCTAATGCTAACAAAAGAATGGGTGTGGTTTGTAAGAGGAGTATTTTGATGTGGAGAGGCCACAGCTGGAGTACTGCGTCCAGTTCTGGGCACTCCAGTTCCAGAAAGACAGGGAACTACTGGAGTGTCCCTGAGGGCTACGAGGACGATTAGGGGACTGGAGCATCTCTTGTATGAGGAAAGGCTGAGACAGCTGGCTCTGGTTAGCCTGGAGAAGAGAAGGCTCAGAGGGGATCTGATCAATGCTTATAAATATCTAAAGGGTGGATGCCTAGAGGATGGGGCCAGACTCTTTTCAGTGGTGCCCAGTGACAGGACAAGGGCCAATGGGCACAAACTGGAACACAGGAAGTTCCATCTGAATATGAGGAAAAACTTTACTCTGAGGGTGACCCCAAGCACTGGAACAGGCTGTCTAGAGAAGTTGTGGAGTAGTCTCATCTGGAGATACTCAAAACCTCCCTGGACACAATCCTGTGCATCCTGCTCTAGTGGGGCGGGTTGGGCTAGATGATCTCCAGAGGTCCCTTCCACCCCCTACTGTTCTGTGATTACTATGTCAGAATTGAAGTAAGACATCACCAGGCATCTTCTAAAAGAACCACTTATTGCTATCTTAAGTTCTTATGTTAAGGAAAAAAATTGGCACAGGGTCACTTCATTTTTCTTAACAGCAGATGGCATAAGACATTGAATACACTTGATGCTTGCACCAGCAACTTGAAGGAGCTTATGTCTAAATGCCTTTCTTGTCTCATGCAGGAAAGCCTAAGTATAGAACAGTAGTTAATGTATGATTACCTGTAAGACAGAAGTGTACTTAGTACAGCTCCAACTTTGCTATTTTGAGCATGCAGTATATGTTAACTGAATTGCTACTGCAGTGTTGACATATTCAAACCCTCTGCCTTCTTAAAGCAGTTGTATAGCTGTTACCAACATCTGATGGAACCAAGTACCTAAGTGATGGCTTTCAGTGATAGCTCAGTACTACTTGTTAGTGACAACAGCACCAGTTACACCAAATAAACATGAACTGATTTTTTTGAAAATAATTTACTAAAATAAACAAGTACATTTTCCTTTTCAGTATAAGTTACACAATTGCATACATTTTTAGCTCTTTCTAGGTGCTTCTGGTAATAAGGCAGCAGCACTAGGCAGACAACTAAAACTTTCAGCATTGCTTTGTACACAAGGAGCCAGTATAAGGGTATTATATTTTCCAGCAATACATGTTTTTACTGAATACATTGAAGGTGAACCTCATTCTTATTTGATACAGCTCAAGCCGAAGTGGAGTGTAGTGCAATTCTTGCTTATGGGAAAAGAAAGCCTGTACAGTAAAACATGAATGAAGGATGCTCAAACCATGATTTGTTTACTGGAAGCAGTTAATAAAACACGTAACTTAGCCACAACTGTTTGTGCTTCATAAACTTACTCAGGATATAAACTAAAACTTCATCTGTAAAAGTTCTTCTCTGTAGAATAGTGCTTACTGCAAGACATACAACGTTTCAGATCTGCTTTGGTGGTAGAACTTGTGTGCTATCAGGGAAAAATGTTTCCAAGAGAAATAATCCTCTTTCTTACAAATCAACAGCCAGCTTTCTGACAAAAGGGAACTGGCAATTTTGAAGCACTCATTCCCTTTCTCTGTGAACAATCCCTGACAAAGGAGAACATGTATTGTGTTAAAAGCTATAGTGGCACAAAAATCAAAACTGGCCCCTGGGCAGGTTCATTGGTTCAATACCCATGTTTTCTAGTTCAAGTTTATTCAATGTGGCCTTAACAGACCAACTGTATCAGACTACTAGAGGAAGAGTACTTAGATCATCTCCATCATCAGTCTTGGTTTAAGTCAGTGAAGCAGGTGCTTCAGTCACTAACTCTTCTTAGTGGGAATATGCAGGGTCAGAATAATGATCATGCAAACTTCTTCTTTGTAGCTGTAAATCGTTCCATGTACTACAAAGGAAAAAAGTCTAATTAACATTAAACAGGTAAGAATGCTGCATAATAGGAAGCACCCATTATTTTTTTGTCCCATCAAAGTGAAGACACACTCCTGTCAGTAGCTACTCTTCAAAAGATGCTGAAAGAACACTGATCCTGAATCCCATAAGTAAGTTAATATTTGAAGAACTCTTGAAATTCTTTTCAGAGGTTAGTTACAAATCCAGTACCAGTGACAATACCAGTAGACTGTGCTTTTATTCATCAGCATAAAAGCTTAGTATTGTGAGGAGATACTGGGTAAGGGCTTCACCAGAAGCTTCATTAAAAAAAAGAGACAGACAAACCTTGTCATAACCTTCCAGTTCTCTGAGTTTCTTGATTTCAAAGAGGTTACCTTCTACTGCAAGCAGTGAGATCTGGGAATCACTGAGGATACTTTGAGGAAGCATGCTGAGTTCTAGACAGTTTTCTTCTAAACGCAAGACTTTGAGGCGTGGACAGTGGGAGATCTGCACTGAGATCTGCGAAATCTGGTAGAAATAAAGAGAAATGAGATTAACATTTTAGTGATCCATTATTAAATTGATTGGCATTTCAGACTAATATGAAACAATTATGTTGTAAATATAAACTACATTAACAGTAACTACTTAACAATGTCTAAGCAACAATAACAATGGTCAAAAAAAATCCATGTAACTTGTTTTTCTTCCATGATGACAGGCAACCTACACATCTGTTGATCAGATTCCTACCCAAGAACTGTTCAAACAATTTTTTGTATGATTAAACTCAGGATTTGTTAGTTAGTCAGAGCAGGCAGTTGGATGTATCAGTACACAAATTCTAGTTATGATCCCCTATTTCTGTTGTGTGCAAGAGATGTCTTTTAGCTATAAGGTTTTGATGGTCTCAGCTTATTATCTGTGGATGTTCTAAGATAAACTATGTCCTCAATCTACATGTCTGTAATATCGCAGTTACCTGACCTGATTCTGATTCAAATTGAGCTCAATAGCCTGCAATTCTCCCACAGTGTCAGGTACATTCTGGATCTGGTTTTTGGAAAGATCTACCACATCCAAGTGGCGAAGACCAGAGAGTTGTGTAGGCACAGTCCGCAGCTGGTTTCCAGAAAGGTTCAGGGTTTTGAGAGCTGAAAGTTGTCCAAATGCAGCTGGTAGCTGCCTCAAGTGATTGCCATTCAAGTGTAGTGTTTCCAGTTTTTTCAGTTTACACAGCTCCTCAGGTAAAGCAGCTAGAAATAAATGACAGAAGAAAGAGATGACCTAAACAAAAAGTAATAAAGATTCATCCCCATTTAATTCAAATAAACTTCTACATGGAAAACAGTGCTAGATTGCAGTAATTTCTCACAGGATTCCTCCCCATTTTCCAATGAAGGCACAGATCCCTGCACAGAAACTTAAGCTCACTAACACCACATGCTTTTTAACTATCCTCCATAAATATCTTAAAAATAATCTGCAGACAAGGCAGACCTTGCCTTTTTCACAGGCTGAAAACACTACTCTCAGAGGATTTTAGACTATCAGTTATACTCTTTACTAACCACTTTGCTAATGTATCCTATGACATTTGAAACACCACACAACTCACAGCTTCAGGTCTGCTACAAAGGTATTACTCAACTCACTCAAAAGTAAGTTCTCAGATAATTAATATCATATCATACCAGCACAGAAGCCTCCCCAGGTAAGCTCTGCTGGCGTTCATTCACCCCTCATTCTACCCACACACATGTATAACCTGTAGCACTCCCTCAGTTCCACTATAGAGTCAGAGGTTTGTAAATTACATTCATTTTTCAAAAAGGTAGATAATACACAATTAACACATTAAAAAGTTAGTTTCTTCACCTCATCCTAGTTTTTCCTGGAAAGTTGGACATTTGTCCAGCAGAAACAACAACCACCATTGAATGGCCAGCAACATTTTCTACAGATCATCTTCATTACCTGTTCTCTATGCAAGTACTAAGCCGTCTGACACTGTTAAACCTTCAGATCAGACAACTCACAGCACAGAAACATTTTGTGGTTTTAAGTACTTATATTATCAGTTTTACAATGACACATAACTAAGTTGGCAACTACTTTTGAAGAATTTACAGGTTTGTTTTGGGTTTTTTTTCCCTGTACATTAATTCCAAAGATTTCAGTTTAGGTGCCTAAACTCCCCATTTACATCCTGTGAGAGTTAAATTTAGTTTCTGATCAGAGAAGTCAGGTTATTATTTTAAAAATCTGCAGATATATTAATTAGCAGGCATACTCAGTTTGTTATTGTTTAGAACAAGGCTCTTCAAAAAGGAAAATTTTCCAATGAGTGGTGGTAAGAGCTCTATTTTGTTGTTCGACAAGTCTATTGTCCTTAAGTTGCTTGTTAGCTTCTGCAGATCTTCAGGAAACTATGGGGGAGAAAAAAGATACAGCATTTAAATAGTCGATACAACTTTGAATGTTCAAGTTTCACAGCTTAAAATGTTAACTGAAATTTGTATTGCTGTCATATGTATCACATACTGTCATATGTATCACAATGTCCAGTCACCACAGTTGGCAAATTGCTTAATACGTATTTTTAAAAATATTTTTTCATCTGAGGAAGGGAAAAGGGGTATAAAGTAGACAGTCTAACATTTAGGAAGAGTAGTTTTTAAGCCAAAGAATTTGAATTAAAAAGGGAGAAGGAAGTATACCATCACATGAGCTCATTGATGTATAGTCCTCTTGCGTGTTTCTCTTAAACATGCCTGTCATTTTAAAATATTCTACAGCTAGTTAACAACTCTCTATTTTAGCAGAGTAGGATTGGGAAATTTTTCCTCTTACTTTCCTTTTAAAATAATGATGTAAACCATTTTGCTTATTCTTATTTACATCCTGTACCGCTTTAATCTGCACTTGGCCCTGAGCAGAAAAGAAGAAAAACCTGACAATCGCCATCAGTGAGTCCTGGTCAACAGACCGGTGGTTTGGATTCTCCTTTGGTATGGCAGAGGAAAACGGAAGAGATAAGGTAGGACAGTGAGTGGAAGAAGATACTTCAGAAAAGTCATGGAAAATTACTGCAATAGAGTTATTTTGGCTATCCTGTGAATTGTTACTCGACTTACGGTTTCAAGACATTCTGTGTTTTTCTGCAGTTGAGTCAAAGCAAGACAATTTCCAATACAATAAACTTCAAGATGCTTGCAGCCCAGTGAACAGCCTGTACAGACTATTCATTTGACTACAATTCAATACAGTGTAAGTATCTAAATGCAACAAATTGTGGAGTATCTTTCTAGATAACAACACAGTTATAAAATTTACATTTGTCCCCTCGAGTTTACAGCCCTTTTTTAAAAAGCGGAACATCATAACTAGTACTTCTTGAACATACATCCACTCTAAAGCATAAGCTCATAAGTATACAAGTGCTCTGACAGATAAATCCTCAATCAGAAGACAGTGCAAGCAAAAATCCACTCAGCAGAAAAAGAAAAAAAAAATATCTTGAAATAATATTATCCATCACTATTTATGAGAAATACATGTACGCAGTGCATTATGACAACGAGGTGGGAATTTCTCTCCAGAAGTGCCAGTCACACACACTAACAGCCACATTTGCACTATAGTTACATTACCTCTGTAAGTCCCTTTCCCGTTAGCTGAAACACACCAGTTTTCTGTGCTGTCTCCAGGTGGGCTTTTAATGCACTGTTTCCCATCCTAACAGTTCTCTGTCAAGCGTACAGACTTTGAGTGATAGCCTCAGCCAGTTTCTCTCAGTTATGCTGCACTAGAGACCTGCAATCCAAAGTCTCTGTGATAAAGCAAAAGTAAAAAGTCATTTCATGTGTACTTTCTTCAACACCCACACGTTTCAACAGACTGAACCGTTTGCATCTCCCTCATAACTAACACCTAGAACTTAAAAGATTTACCTAGCTTAAGGTGCCTTCATTATAGCAGTTTGAATACTGAAATGATGCAACAAATATAGTTAAAACTAAATGGGAAAATTGCATACTTTCCACATTTTGCCTCTTTCATGGCCCAGTAGCATAGGGAGATTTTCCATGGAGACTGGCTGCGATTTTAGTGGCATCTACCAGCATTGACCTGCTTTCAACACTACAGTTCTATTTGCTTTTTTTGGGAACCTTTGTTTCATTGAGCGACTTGACTCCTTTGCTGTGACTGCGGATGCAGACACACGACACCCATCCCCCGCAACTCCAGCGGGGTTTAATCCCCCGGGACAAACTGCGCCGGGTTACAGGCCGAAGGACTAGCGCTAGGTCTGTAGCCGGGAGGCGGGGAATAAAGCCTAATACAGCACATAAACAGCCGGGACGAGGAGCCCATGAGGAGCGCTCCCTGCCGCGATGGCTAGAAGCGGGTCAGCACCGGGCGAAGCCAGCAATGACCCGCTGCTGGCCTC